CCTGAGTCAGTTTTTGCATATATTGTAAGTAAGAGTCTGGCTTCATTCCTTTGCATGTGGATATCCAGTTTTTCCAGCATCGTTTGTTGAAAAGATCCTTTCTGTATTGAATGGTCTTGGCACCCTTGTCCAAAATCACTTGATATACATGAGGGTTTATTCTGGGCTCTCTATTCTACTCCATTGTCCTATATGTCTCTTTATGCCAATACCACACAGTTTTGATTTGTAGAAAGTTTCAAAATCAAGAAGTGTGATTCCTCCAGCTTTGTTAATCTTATACAGTATTTTTTTAGCAATTTGAGATCTCTTGAGATTTCATATGAATTTTAAGATGGGTTTTTCTAGTTCTGAAAGAAAAAAAAGTTGTTGGAATTTTGATAGGGATTGCATTGAATCTGTAGATGGCTTTGGGTAACATGGACATTTTTATAATACTAAGTATTCTAATCTATGAACATAGGATGTGTTTCCATTTAATTTTTTGTAGTTTTCACTGTACATTTCTTTCACTTCTTTGGTTAATTCCTAAGTATTTTATGCTTTCTGATGCTGTTGTAAGTAGAATCTTTCTGTACTTTCCTTTTAAGATTGTTCATTCTTAGTGTTTAGAAATGCAGCTAATTTTTATGTTTTGACTTTGTGTCCTGCTACTTCGCTGAATTGTTTATTAGCTCTAACAGTTTTTGTGGAATCTTCAGGGTTTTCTACTATAAAATCATGCTATCTGCAAACAGAAATAATTTTACATATTTCTTTCTAAATTTAGATGCCTTTTATTTCTTTTTCTTGCCTCACTGCTCTGGCTAGAATTTCTAGTACAGTGTTAAACAGATGTGGTAAAAGCAGGCTGCTTGCCTTATTCCTGATCTTAGAGAAAATCTTTTAGTCTTTCACCATTGAGTATGTTGTTCACCAGAGGGTTTTCATATATGGCTTTTATGTTGAGGTAGTTTTCTCATGCTGCTAGTTACAGTGTTTTTTATCATGAAAGGGTGTTGAATTTTATCAGATGATTTTTCTGCATCAACTGAGATGATCATGTGGGTTTTTCCCCCCGCATTCTGTTAATGCAGTGAGTCACACTCATCTACTTTTGTGTGTTGAACCATCCTTGCATTCCAGGAATAAGTCCCACTTGGTCACAGTGTATAATCTTTTAAACATACTGCGGAGTGTGGTTTGCTAGTATTTTTGCCTCAGTGTTCATAAAGAATATTGATTCTTTTTCCTGTAGTGTCTCCATCTGGTTTTGGTTTCAAGGTAATGCTGGCCTCATAGAGTAAGTCAAGGAGTCTTCCCACCTCTTCAGCTTTTTGGAAAAGTTTGAGAAGGATTATAAACGTCTGGCAGAATTCACCCAAGAAGTCATCAGGTTCAGGGCTTTTCTGTGTCAGGGGATATTTGATTGCTGGCTCCATCTCCTTTGTAGTTTAGTTTAGGTCTGCTTAGATTTTCTATTTCTTTGCGATTTAATCTTGGTAGGTTTTGTGTTTCTAGAAATTTGTTCATTTCATCTAAGTTATTGGTGTACAATTGTTCAGACATTCATAATTCTTTTTATTTCCGTAGAATCGATATTCATGTCCCACTTTCATTTCTGATTTCAGTAACTTGAGTATTCTCTCTTGTTCTTCATAAATCTAGCTAAAGTTTTGTTAGTTTTGTTGATCTTTTCAGAAGCCAACTTTCGGTTTTATTGATTTTCTCTGTTGTTTTTCTGTTGTCTTTTGTTTATCTCTGATTTAATCTTTATCGTTTCCTTCCTTCTGCTAACATTGGGTTTAATTAGTTTGTTTTTCTAGTTCCTTAAGTTATAAAGTTTAGGTTGTTGATTTGAGATATTTCTTGTTTTTCAGTGTGTTCGTAGCTATTCATTTTACCTGTAGCACTGCTTTCTCTGCTTCCTGTAAGTTTTGGTATGTTGTGTTTTTGTTTTCATTTGTGTCCTAGTATTTTGTAATTTCCCTGTGATTTCTTCTTTTGCTTTAATTCTTTTTTTTTTTTTTAAAGACTGGTAAGGGGATCTTAACCCTTGACTTGGTGTTGTCAGCACCATGCTCTCCCAAGTGAGCCACGGGCTGGCACTCTTTTGCTTTAAT